ACCTCAGAATGTCCCCAGGTGGATAGCCCCAGACATGAGTTCCAATCAAATTGTCTCAGACAGTACAAACCCTGCTCAACAGAGAGGGATCCATGGGTCTTCAATAGCACAATTGGAGCCAGGGGGCCACAACCCCAAAAACCCACCCTCCTATCAGTCCACACTGGTATCTGCTTCCCTGCTCACCAGCCCAGTTGCAGTCAGGGAATCACACCACCCCCAGTCTCAGTCCACACCCAGCAAGCCTCTGTTTGCCAGCTCTGTTGGAGAAAGGGGACCATGCTCCTGCCCACAGGTCTCAGTCCACACTCACAAGCCTCTGCTTACAGGCTCATTTGGAACTGGGGACCAGCCTCATCCACTAAACTCAGTCCACACCAGTCAACCACCCTCCTGCTTGTGGACATAGTCAGAGCCAGGGCTTCTGCACCCCCCTGCCAGACACATCCTGAGGGTCAACACCACCACTTTCCAGGCAAAGTCATAACCAGGGGACTGCTCCTCCCCCCCACAGAATTTCCCTTTCTTCCCACACCCTCTTTCTTCCCCACTAGTTACAGATTCCATTCTGATGTTCGGTGGTCTACACTATGCCCAGATCTCTTAGGAAAAGACCAAACACTCTAAGCTCTGCAGGGAGCAGAACTTCAGACCACCATGGGAGGGGGAAGGGTAGACTGGAAATTTGAAATTGTGGGGTAAAATACTTGGTCAATTTCATGCCCAGAGGGGTGATGTCTAGGTTCATAAGTGGGACATCCCTGGAGAAGGAGACCCGGTGTTTACCAGCTCTCTCTAGTGAGGTAAAATGAGAGGTCTATTGTTCCCTGCTCACTAGCAGACAGCCTGCTGTGGGCATCCCTCTTGGGGTAGGAGGTCTCCCGTCCTCTAGCCGATAGGCTTTGTACCTGTAATTTGTTTTTTTAAATGCTCTTCCTTGGAGTCATAGCTTGCCAAACTTCTTTCTTGGCTCAGCTCCCCACATTTGGCTTCATAGAGTCCAATTCTGTCCAGTTTTTCTCCCTCTGGTCAGGAGCCTCTGCTGAGGGTTGCTACTAGCCAGCCATCTTCTCAGAATCCTCAACCTGGACTCTTAGATAGAACTGTACTCTCCCATTTCCTCAAGCAACTAAATGGTACATGCATTGTTTCCTTCAGCATAAAAACTGGAATACTATTTCAGAACACTGATAAACTTTTAAGTAGAAAATAAAGTACAAGGTGAATATGTTTTCTGAGCAAAATTAGTACTATCTCACTTTAAAAGATGAAAATATTGCCCCAATTTAATGAGTTGGAGTCATAGATTCATTCAACACCCTCTATGTGCTAGATACTGCATAATTATAAATAAAGGGGTTACATAACACAGACTCATTTGTGGCAAAAATAAATAAATAAATAAGCTATGATTGCTTCCACGGTGCCAGATTAACCCTTGGAATCAATGTGACCTACTTTGTCAGACTAGTTTGGCTTTTTTTCATTGACTTTATAGTACCTTGTTAACGTTAGTGAAGTTGACTAGTTCTTTTGCTGTGATCTAATTATTATACTAAACAGTCATTTATTTATTCCTCTTCTAGTCAACATTGTACATCAACATGCTTTTAAAAAATCATAACCTTTTACTTAGGCAATAGAATTGCTTTCCATCCAGTACCTTAGATCCAAAAAAAGAATTGCATTCCAGAAAATTTCTCTAAAAGAAAAAAAAAATCAAAATAGATTGCTATAAGGTATAATTTCCACATGTTTCCCCTAAACGTCATAAGCTTTTATGTACATAGAAAGTTTTCTGGGACAAAAACAAAAAACTTAGCAAGTAACAGTGAGTGCCCGTTGAACAAGGAGTTTAGGGGCCTAATTAGAAGACAGACTTACTTCTCCTTATATAAATTTTTATTCAGATTAATTTCTACCATTTTACATATTTTGTGTATATTTTTAAATTTTAATTACTAATAAATAACAAAAGAGATACATTCTTGGTGGTCTTTCAGAAGTTCCAGAATACTTCCTGTAAGTAGGAGAAATCAGGTGAGCCCCACTGGTTTTGCCTCCATGGCCTTCTTGTGCATATGTGTTGTTGCTGAAACTGAACCCCTGTAAGGAGACTTTGAATGTAAGAGGCTCCAACGCTGGTTCTCTGAAAGAGATTAACAAGCAGGTCCTGTTTGAGGGTAAGTGGTTAATGAGGTCCTCACTCAGGAAGCCACATTCAACCAGAGAGGCAGAGAGGGAAGGAGAGGGGGAAAGTTGCCTACAGGAAGAGGACCAATAGTAACTAGAATAGTTACCATTCAGACATCCTTTCAAAATAGCTGTAAATTAGGGAAGTCTGTACTGTGATCATACCTAAACATTTCCTCCAATGATTTTTTTTTCTTTTCCTTTGTCTATAATTTCCCAGAAGAATCAATGCTCACTCATAGGAAAAAGGAAAATAACACCACTACTACACCTGTTTGTCTTAAAGACAGACAATCCTGTGATCTTTTTGCTTCCCACTGCTACCATGATGTCTTTCCTCCATGTTCTTCCTTTTTACTTAATGCTAACCTAATACTAGTTAAAAATTTAAAGAAGCATGTAAAGGAAAAAAATTCAATTGAGACTGGAGGAATCTGAAAGCTTCTAGTTGTGGGTTTTCTGGATCATTTTCTTAGCACTTGTCACTTGACATCTTCAAGGATTTCAGAGTCTCCCACATTAAGCAAGAAAACTGTTCTTCATTTCTCTCATTTTTGGATGTTTGAATTGGGAAATCCATCCTTATGGGTTTCAGGATTCTCTTCAGTCTCCAGGAATGAACACACAGTTCAACTATTCCAAAGTATAACCTATAACATTTCTTACATATTTTAATTACATATCTGTGGTCTTTAGTGGAGAAGTACAATTCTGGGCCAGAACACTAAATTCTTATTCTATAAAAAGTATAATAATTTCCAGGTTTTCTTGTCTTTATAGGGATGATTCATCTCAGAAATAGTTGCACCAAGTTTCACTTGCACCAAACACTAATAACCAGCAGTCATCAATGATAAAATTAATTTGTTAGCTTCATGAAAACAGTCAGAGTTTAGGGCAGTGTTTGTGTGAAGAGTTCTGTGGTCATCTTTGGACCAAAGTTTATGTGGACATTTTGAGAAGACACCAAAACTGATTATGAAGAGGTGAAGAAAAGCCCAGAGGCAGGACTGGTTGAAGGAAAAGATTCTTTTAGAAAACTAAAAGGGAAATAAGTTTTAAAACTAAAAAGGGAAAATGTCTGAAATTAAGTCATATAAGATCTTAGCCAAATCACAGAATGGTAGCTTTCCTCCTGTTACTAAATTCTCAAAATACATACACTCTGATTTTGTCATCTATGGGGTACTGGTTTCCCGACCTCTTTCCATGGGAAACCATTTTCTTGTCAGTGACCACACTGACCCTGAAATTAAACCTCACATAATCATTTAGCAATAGCTAGAGTCACAGATCAACTTAAAGTTACTATGGTAAAAAGTCCTTAACAAAAAAAGGCAGTAGGGCAAGTTTGTCAAGTTAGTAGGAAACTATTTCCTGTTGAGTAGAGTAAGTTTAAATTCTGAGTCACCAAGCAGAAATCATTAAAGAACCAATACCATTTTTACTCTTGAAAAGGAATCATACTGCCTGTTCAGCAGGAACTTCTGGTAGTGGGACTATTTATTATGGTAGTGGGACTATTTCTGGTAGTGGGACTATTTATTATGGAAGCCATGCTCCTAGTAGCATACCTAATTAGACAATTATCAGCAGCTCCCAGGACACTATTGGTTAGCTATTAATAGCTACATAGAGTAGTTCCTGCTCTACTTAGCACAGCCACTAGAGGGTTCTACCTTTGACGTGGAACCACGATCTTAAATTGACAACATGGAAGAGCAGATTTTTCTGCATATGCTACTAACAGATCACTGTAACCAAATTGTTCCATATGATAAGAGGAAGTTTGAGACTAAATAGAGAAAGCCACTGATGTCACATCTACTGAAGCAGAGTCAGCCCCTTAACCACAAGAAAAAAGTAAATTCAAGTGAATTGAGGTGTTAACCAGCTTTACATCCTACACTGTGTCATTCTACATTTTTCATTCTACATCCTACACTATGTCATCCTACATTTTTCCATCGTTCTCCATAACCTCTCAGTTATTGTTTTGGCCCCCTGTCAGGAGATAATATGATCTTCCAATGCTACTAGTTGAAATGACTTGCTTTACTCAGGGGTTGGTAAGGATTAATAAGAGACCACTGCCTGCTTCTGGGTTGAGCTGTCACCCAAAAGCCCCAACTTTTGCCACTCTTTGAATAGTAGCCAGAATGACTGCTTTATTTAAAATCAAAAGTTCATCTCTTCTGTTATTAAATTATAACAACAGAACATATAATACAATAATATAATATGTAAATCCAGGTGGACATAAAGTTCATATGCGATTTAAAGTTACAACTATTTTAAATTGCACACAAACTTTATGTCAACCCTGTATTACATATATTTTATACATTAATACTACATGCTTAATACATAAACATTTAATAGTGAATATATTATGTATTAAATATATCAGATTATATTATAATAAAGTATAATATAGTAATAATATATTACTTTATTATAGTAATATACCATATAATATACATACTATATATAATATATACTATGCTATAGAACATGTATATACAGGGTGGACTTAAAGTTTGCATGCAATTTATGTCCACCCTGTATATTACACAGTAATAATATACTAACATATTATAATAATTTTCATATATTTCCAGACCAAAAATTGCAGGGGCTTTAAAATACTAAAGAAAAAATAACAGTAGTAATATTCTTGCTAACACACTAACTGAAAAGCACAAGGAATAAAATTTGGAAGTTGGGATGCATGAACAGAAATGTTAAGTGCCTGTGTATTCCACTCCAGCTCTGCTATTTCTTACCACCATGTCTCCTTTTTTCAGCTGCTGGCTGGGCGCTGGCCTTTTGATCACAATGACTTTGGCGTATTTCTCTGCAAGCTGTTCCCCTTTTTGCAGAAGTCCTCAGTGGGGATCACCGTCCTCAATCTCTGCGCCCTTAGTGTTGACAGGTAACATAATTCTTTCTCTTTGCTCTTGGGTTGGAGTTAGAAAAGTATTTTTTCAAAAACAAGAGAAGGGAGAGAGTTGTACCCCAAGTAGGTACAACAAGAGAGTTGTACCAATTAACAGTGTTAATTGGTTTCAAATGAATTAAAACGTGAACGATCTTGCCTTTACTGTTTAGAATTGCCTCACACATTTGCTGATTATTAGCCACCTTTGGCTCAGGCAATATGTACTCCAAGCATTTTGCCAAAAATATTCATGTGGCACCCTTATGGCAACAAAGAAAAAAATGATCACATTGTATGGTATAAACTTTGTGAAAAGGAGATCTTAGAACATGCAAATCCTGTATTTCAGCTGGTAAATTTATTATAAGAAATGTGAAGATACTGTTCACTTACATTTGCATTGATTACATACTGTTAAGTATGTAATATTGTTAGGTCCTTTTTTTTTTGCAGTTTTCTTTTCTTTTGGCTGGGGCTGGGTTTGAACCCGCCACCTCCAGCATATGGGGCTAGTGCCCTAGTCTTTTGAGCCACAAGTGCCTCCCCCCTTCTTGTTTTTTGAATGCCTGAAATGTTTTCTAATTTAAAAAAGAGGGCAACAACAAAAGTTCCCTTTGTCCAATTCTGAAAAATACATCAGTTATCTCTGAGAATTCCCAGAATCCTCACACATGGCTATCCAGTGTTTTCTAACAAAGCTCTTCTGAATTCTGTGAGCTAGTAGATGGTATTTCTTTACCTTCTAATTTTCACATAGGAATTATAAAGAATGAAATTTGGAATTTTATAACATGTTCTTTGGTTATAAAATTATGTTTGGTGTTTTTTTCATATTTACTATAATCTGGCTAGATGCAGTGGCTCACACCTGTAATCCCAGCACTTTGGAAGGCCAAGGCAGGAAGATCAGTTGAGCCCAGGAGCTCAAAATAAGCCTGAGCACACAGTGAGACCTCATCTCTACAGAATAGTTTAAAAATTATCCATGCATGGTGGTATGTGCCTGTAGTCCAGCTACTCAAGAGTCTGAGACAAGAAGTTTGCTAGAGTCTAGAAGTTTGAGGATATAGTCAGGTATGATTGTGCCACTGCACTCTAGCCTGGGTGACAGAGGGAAACCTATCTCTAAAAAACAAATAAAACTTTTTTTAAAATCTTACACAATTTGTATATGATGTCCTGTTTAGTTGGTTAACATACAATTTAGAAAAGGTTTCCATAACTTATACCCTGACAATCACTTTATCAGAGAACCTGGGTCTCATCATTATAGAAATAAAAGGTTTACTTTCTTAAAGAACATTCAAATGTTTACAGTTACTCTGTTCTTTTTCATTTATAATTAACTTTTGAGACCAAAATTGTTATTGCTAAAACATAAAAATGTTCATTCAATTAGTAGCTGAAAATTATAATGGTGTCCTTATTATAAATTTATGGCTATAAAAACTACAAAACACAAAATAAATAAAATGTTTGGTATTGTTATTAAAATAAATTTATTACGGAAATTAAAACAGAAAAGAATCCCATCAGTAGTTTAGAACACAGTAGTACTTTGACAAAAAATGTTTCCACTCAATGGTAAACACAGAGATTAGAAATACTTTGATCATCTATTTGTAGGACTGCTCAGTAATTTGTAGGAAAATGCAAGGTCCATGTGGATTACTTCTGCATCATACCAAATGCTAAATACTGTTGCATAAAAACATATACCATAGGTGACTATTGTATAATAGTCATTCTACAGATAGGGAAGGTGAGAATCAAAGGAGTTAATCAAGCCCACATGCCTGCTAAGTTTTGGAGCCAGTAATAAAATGTAGGTATTTTGCATTTTTAACCATTATACTCAAGCATATAAAAACTCAAACTATAAAACAGTAGAAGAAAATGTCTTTTTGACCTCCAGAAAAACAAAACCTTCTAAACTTAAAAAAAAATGATAGAGGTTGGGTGCCTGTAGCTCAAGTGGCTAAGGCACCAGCCACATACACCAAAGCTGGAGGGTTCAAATCCAGCCCAGGCCTGCCAAACAACAATGACAACTACAACCAAAAAATAGCTGGGTATTGTGGTGGGCACCTGTAGTCCCAGCTACTTGGGAGGCTGAGGCAAGAGAATCACTTGATATGCCGGAGGTGGTGGGTTCAAACCCAGCCCT